GGGGGACTTTGCATGTCGTGGTTAAGAAGCTGGCTTACTTTAAAGCCCTGATTTTTAAAATAAAAGGTTGATCGCTTTCCATGTGCAATGATTACTCTTTATTTTCACTCTAATTTCTTTAGGAATGATGTACAGAATTTTTAAACTGAAGGTGTCTTAGTGGGTGGTTGGTGGGTGATCTGGTGTAGTTTGCTCCTTTTTTCCTATTAAAAATCTATGGTCCTGATCTCTCCTCCTTCTTTTTTGTGTTTGTTACCCTCTTGCAACACCTCTAATCTTGGGCACTTATATGACCTTATTGTGTTGCAAGTGCCGTAAAACTCTTACTAAAACTAAACGAAGGTGGCTCAAGTTCATCTTGCCAAGAAGTTATTGTATAACTGTTATGACTTTTTCTGGCTGTCATTGACTTGCTGTAAAGACTCCACCACCAGAGGAGAATTTTCCCCTGAGCTCATGGACACAATATGTTGCCAGTGTGTGACGTTTGTAATCGGACCCGTCAGAATGTACACAGATGGCAGGTGTTAAGTGGCAGAGCTGTGGGTTTAAAAAAAAATATCTTCAGCATCTATTAATTTGCACATTAAGTCGACTATGAAGTCTCGTTGGTTTGCTTGAGTAGAGGAAGTCTTTGTTTTGCTGGGGAAAGTAAAGTATTGCGCCTTTCTCCCCCCTTTGGTCACAGATGTGGGGTTGCCGTGGGTTTATAATGATAATAATAATAATAATTGCATTTATGTAGGGTTATATCCACACGCTAGATACGCATGCTGTATGTGCTTTACAGCTATAATTACCCCAGTTGACCCTAGAACTGTCAGAATACGACTGCAAAATTGTTTCGCCTTCCCTGGAAGCATACAGTGCAAGCTGTGGATTGCAATTTGTTGTCTTACAGAAGCAGGAAACGACTGGCTGTGTTCATAGTAATGATCCACACTTCATACGCTCACAAATGTATTTTTAATGGACAGAGAAGGTGTTCAGCCAAAAAACGAAAAAAAAGGAGTAACATTGGCCCAGTGGTCAGAAAAAAATGTCTTGTTTCTGCGATTTCATTTTTTTGACAAGCCCCCTAATTTCACGAATCACCACAATGCTTCACATATTTGCTGTTGTCAATAAAATGTTAAGCGTGCTGACAAAATGAGTCATCTCGGATTTGAACTCTTTTAAAATAGATACATCACGCTCACAGGTTAAGTTTATACAATTTATGAGTATGAAATAAAAAAAAGGCATGTTAAACTTTAAGAATATTGCATCAATAACAAAATCTACAAATTTGACCTTAATGTAGATTTTTGGTCGTTTGTGGAATGCGAGGAGTAATGCATTTTGTCAGCACGGCTCACAAATATTATTCCTTGTATGGGTAATGATGTATGACTTGTTGACGTTGTTTCTGCAGCAGGACATTGACATTGATGATGATTCACAGGTGATCTACCACCACAACACTGGAGGTGAGTGATGGAGGAGTCTCTCTCTCTTTGTGTGTCTGTGTGTCTGTGTGTCTGTCTGTCTGTCTGTCTGTCTGTCTCTCTCTCTCTCTCTCACTCTCTCTCTCTCT